TCGAATTACCACGCGTGGAATTACTACGCGTCGAATTACCACTTATCGAATTACCACGCACTGAATTACCGCTCGTCGAATTACTACGCTTGGAATTATCACGCATCGAATTGCCACGCGTGAAAGTACTACGCGTGGAATTACTACGCGTCGTATTACCACGCGTCAAATTACCACGCATCGAATTACCACGCGTGGAATTGCTACGTGTTGGATTACCATGCGTCGAATTACCACGTGTGGAATTACCACGCGTGGAATTACCACGCATCGAATTCCCAGGTGTGGAATTACTACGCGTCGAATTACCACGCGTCGAATTACCATACGTGGAATTACTACGCGTGGAATTATCACGCATCGAATTACCACGCGTCGAATTACTGCGCGCCGAGTTACCACTCGTTGAATTGCCATGCGTGGAATTACTACGTGTGGAAATACTATGCGTGGAATTACCACGCGTGGAATTACTAAGCGTAGAATACCACGTGTGGAATTAATATTTAGATTTGGAAATATAGGGATTTGGGAATTTTTTGATTAGGGGATTATTAGATTTGGGTATTTTGGTTTTGGGGATTGTTAGATTTAGGGATTTTGGTTTTGGGCATATAGGGATTTGGAGGCATAGGGATTTAAGGACATAGAGATTTAGGGATACAGGGATTTGAAGATATAGGGATTTGGGGATTTAAATTTGTAGACCTAAAAATTTGCAACTTTGAAAGTCATAAAAGTTAACAAATTTGTAACTAAAGGTGAAGGTAAACCTTCTTTAAAGTCTGCATCTCTACGACTCTAAATCTATCAACCGCACTAAAAAATATATCTGACCATAAAATTTGCCAAGTTCATTGATCCATCATTTTGTGGCACGTTTCAATCAAACGCATACCTAGATGCGCATTCCCGCTTTTGTAAACTTATTCTTCGCGTATAAGCTTGAATATTATTTTGCTGGATGCTTGGCACCGCAGGATGATGGATCGCCCAATAGCAATCTAGTGTGTTCAACTTTTTTGCGAGTTTTAAATAACGTTCATCGTAAGAAATATTACACCGGACGTTCGAAAAGCTTCCGGATACTTTAAACGTACCTATAGATACATGTACTACATGTCTATGTACACTTGGAGTGTTTCGATGCTAGGTTTGGATGAGATTCGGATTGTATAGCATCTGAAATGTCTGTTGCTGTGCGTTTGCTTATCGATAAACGGATGATTGGAATTTTTTTGTCGATATCTGCGTATCGAGCTGTCAGATCGTTCAGCTGTGGTCCGTTCGGTTCTTGTTTTTATAGGATACCAAGAATATTCCGGTTGGAAGCTGAAAACTTTCATTTGCCTCCATTCAACTGGCGTTCTTTCATGCATCGTGATTGATGTAAAAATTCTCTGTCTGGCAAATTAAATTCTTTGACTCTGTGCAACCCTGGATGGTTTAAAAACCCCGTTTTGTTCATACAAAAAAGAATTTGGCAATTTTTATCATTTCTCAGAATTTAGGATTTTATTTTGTAATTGATATTCCAGTTTATAGCAGGTGTTCTTTGCAATAGCTAACTCTGTCTCTCTATAGAAGTAGACAATATCTGATGAATCTATATCTCCTATATCGTATTCTGTATAACAAAACGCATAACTATGTCTCTCTACAAGTATAAAAAATACTTGATCAGAATATTAAATACGCACAATTCATTCGTTCATCTCCAACAATATCCACAATCTGTTAAAATTGAATGAAGACTCGTTCGAGTTGCCATCAGAAAAAAGATGAAATCAGTCATCAGGATGCGTTTGTGCGGTGGCTGCGTCGTCTGATTTCTATTTACCCAGCAGAGGTGTGCGAAGACTGCAGTGTCGGGCAACGGGAAGGAAAAACAGGAACAGAAAGAGAAATAGGTCACGGATAAGAAAAATCGTCTTGCAACGTTCTTTTACTGGTGCTGTCTCGATTTATTGCGAGACGCTACGAAAACGGATTCGATATTGCCGTTGCAGAATCGGCACGTAACTCGCGACTTTTCCGCTTGGTAGATGTAATATTAGATATTATGTTATATACTAACCTTCAGCGTTTTATTTTTACTGTCATTTCCCGAGGAAATATTGGCGATTTTTATATTAGTTATATTAATATTCAGACATTTTATTAGTTATTATATGAGAAGGATGAGAGAATCATAATATTTATTTTGCTAGAAAATTTATTGTAGATTGAAAATAAATTTCTTGTCAACTATAAAATTTCAAATACATCTTGAACAGGTTGATGCTCATATATGTTTATACAAAATATTATTTCATATAGGTCATACATTTTATGAAAAATAATTTAAAAATAAAATCTATAGAATAATACAATTTTAATATTTTGTTGCAAGTTTATTTTGTGTAATAACATCATACAAACAAATAATAATTTTTTAAAAATATCCTGAAGGAACAGAACTGTCTTTCAGTCTCATTATAAAATTTTATTGTGTTTTTCAAATTCACCCCACAGATTAATTGAAACGCTCCAAAGCCTCAGTAACCAGTGCGATTAAAAAAGGGCGTTTCAAAAAGCGATCCGCAACGTGGATTCTTCTGGTTCAGAACGGTGTCAAGAGTGAAGGTACACATTGTTTCTGCGGCTCGACGCGAGTTCCTACGAAAAGGGATCCCGAAGAGAACAAGAGAAAAACGAACGCAAAGGGGGAGAAACAACGGCACGCAAGCGTACCGAGTCGCGAAGAAGAAGAGGAGCAAAAAAAAAAAAGGGTAGACACGGTTGTTTCGCGAACGTATTATGCGGTGTTAATGATGATGAGTGAAGCCGTCTTCGAACTCGAGATACTCCGTTGTTTGCTTAATCCTCGTACTCGTCGTGACCCGACCTTCTATTCGCTTCTCTAAATACCAGCTCCTTCTTTCCTGCTGCAAACGCGTCGCTCTTTCTTGAGATTCCACTCGGAGAGAAAGAGAGAGAGCTTAATGCTGAAGCGTTTCTACCTGTACGAGCTGAAGAGAACTGTTTCGAGAGAACTCGGTGCTATTGTTGCGTGTGCATCAGCTCTCGCGATGTGCTTTCGAGGCTTGAAGACGCTTGTAATAATAGCGAGCGTAGGCTGTGTGGAACCTTCTCGTCGAAAATGTTAGGATTCATTGCGAATGAGGGTTTACTAATATTTTTTAATCGATATACTGTGAGTTTTGTTTATGGTTCAACTGGTTGATAGTGAAAGTTGAGCATTTTATGAATGAAGGTTGATTGTTGAGGAGCATATACATTAGTTACTCCACATGGAACATCTACATTAGTTACTCTATATGGAGCATCTACTCTACGTTAGTGAGTGGTGTTAGTAGTCTTGATAGTAGGTAGATAGGTAATAGAGTTGTTACGTTTCTTAAATTTGCATGTAGTAGATCTGTAGTAGGCTGGAAGAGTCAATTTTTTTTTGAGAAACATTCAAATTTCCTACAAGTTTAAGACTCTACATGTCACAAATCTCTACATCCTCAAATTACTTCAGCTTCTAATCCATGGATAACCCAATAGAAGAAGTTCCAAATATCAATGTTCCCAAATTGCTATATGTCCAAATCCCTACATGTCCACATTGTTACATCCTCAAATTGCTACATACCCAAATTTCTAGACATCCAAACTGCAACATAACCAAATTCCTAGGTTCCTAAGTTCCTACATGCCCACATCTCTAAATCTCTAAACCCACAAATCACTAAATTCCCAAATCTCTATATGATCAAATCTCTACATCTTCAAATCTGTAGACCACTAAATAGCTAAAAGTTCTTAAATACCCAACTCCTCAAATTACTACGTCTTCAAATCCTCACATGATCAAATCTCTACACCCCCAAATTACTAAATTCCCATATTTCTAAATCGTGGAACTCCTTTATCCTTAAATCCCTACATTCCTCAAATCTCTATATCTCCTAAATCTCTACGTCCTCAGATCCTGCGTTCCCAAATCCCAGTATCAGCAAATTGCTAAATTTCCAAATTCCCAAGTACCCAAATCTGTACATCCCCAAAGTGCTATATCTCCAAATCTCTACATCCCTAAATTGCTATACACCTAAATCCCTACGTCCCCAAATTCCTCCATCTCCAAATTGCAATGTCTCCAAATCCCTACGTCCCCAAGTCCCTCAATCCCCAAATTGCTATATCCCCAAATCCCTCCAATCCCAAATTACTAAATTTCCAAATACCCAGGTTTCTAAATCTCTGCGTCCCCAAATCCCTACGTCCCTAAATCCCTCAATCCCCAAATTGCTATATCCCCAAATCCCTACGTTCCCAAATCCCTACGTCCCCAAATCCCTCCAATCCCAAATTACTAAATTTCCAAATACCCAGGTTTCTAAATCTCTGCATCCCCAAATCCCTATTTGCTCAGATCCCCACATCTCCAGATTCCTACACGCCCAAATCCCTATATCCCCAAATTGCTATATCTCCAAATCTCTATCTCCCCAAATTTCTAAAAAAAAAACCTTACACAGAACACGCACATCACATCACGCAGAAAATCAATGTTCGTCAGTTTGAAAATGGAAAGCGAACCAAAGAGAAAAAAAAAAGGTACGGACGAATACAAAAGACAAATGATAACTCACTTTTCCGCGACGTAACGAGGCCTCATCAAGCTTCCGTTTCCGATTGAACAGATCGTTCGTCCATTTGTCATGGCAATTTTTAATTGATTCGAAATCCAATAATCGTCGTCACAGGAGAGCTTTGAGCTGCGCACGCAAGTCGGACTTACCTGCGAAAGAATAAAAACGGAGAAATTAGTTTGATTAATGAATCCCGTGAACTGTACAGAGCTCGAACGCGGCAAAAGCTGCAAACTACTTTTAATTGTTTTAAATTAATGAGGACGGTTGCAAAAGGATGCTTGTAACTTTGGTTAATTGGCTTCGATCGTAATCAAGCTACTTACTCGGAAATTGTAATGAAGGTATCCCGTCAATTATTATTAATTATTTCTTCTTTTGAAGTGGACATAAAAATAATTTTGTAATAATTGGTGGTCTGAGGAATTCGGAATTTAGGGAATTTGGGATCCAGGGAATTTGGGATTTAGAGAATTGGTGGTCTAAGGAATTCGGGATCTAGGGAATTGGTGCTCTCAGGAATTATTCGGGATCTAGGGAATTGGTGGACTGAGGAATTCGGGATCTAAGGAATTTGGGATCCAGGGAATTTGGGATTTAGAGAATTGGTGGTCTAAGGAATTCAGGATCTAGGGAATTGGTGGTCTGAGGAATTCGTCATCTAGGGAATTGGTGGTCTGAGGAATTCGGGATTTAGGGAATTGCTGATATGAGGAATTCGGGATTTAGGGAATTGGTGGTCTGAGTAATTCGGGATTTAGGGAATTGGTGCTCTGAGGACTTCAGGATCTAGGGAATTGGTAGTATGAGGAATTCGTCATCTAGGAAATTGCTGATATGAGGAATTCGGGATTTAGGGAATTGCTAATATGAGGAATTCGGGATTTAGGGAATTGGTGGTCTGAGGAATTCGGGATTTAGGGAATTGGTGCTCTGAGGACTTCAGGATCTAGGGAATTGGTAGTATGAGGAATTCGGGATCTAGGGAATTTGCGATTTAGGGAATTGGTAGTCCGAGGAATTGTAATACCCCAAAATCCCCAAAATCTCCATGTCCCATAATCTCAAATACTGAACCATGAACAATTTAACATCAATAACTAACACACCTATAACCAAGAAACCGTCCACAATCGAGTCGAATCGATTGCGTTACCGTCTCACCGAAGTCTTCGATTCCTAGAAACTCGAAAGAGATCGTTCAGCAGGTCGAGAAGCGGACTGCAGTAGTATCGGCCAGTCACGAAGCAGTAAAATTGAATCTGCTGGTTTAGACTCCACCGGAAAAGGACCTACCACGAAGGTTAACACGAAACCGCATGAAAATTATGTCGATGCGGTCTGCGACCGGCCTCGAAAAAAAGCGAGCCGAAATGTTGTCTTCGTGGTAACCGGTCGAAATTAACGGCGGTGTCCGAGCAGAACGTTGGACGATTATTTCGGGAGAAACCGCATCTCTGGATCATCCCTTCAAGCCGTGTGATTGAACTGTCGACGATCGCGGGATTTCAAACGAAATCTCTTTTATTTCTTTTTATTTTTGTTTTCTTTTGTTCTTTTTTTTCCACGTTCCACAATGTAACTTATTTGCAGTTAGACGTACACATGTGTTGCAATTGAAAGGGTACGTGTGGCAGGGCAATTTGGTGGCTTTGTTACATTGTTGTTGGAATTGAATGCATCGCGAGATCTCTTTTTGAGTTGCAGTGAATGGCTGTGCAATTTGAGATTGTGGAAATTTACGTTCTAGGGAAATTTGGAAATTTGAAAAATTTGAAATGTGAAGGATTCAAAATTTGAAGATTTTAGACTTGAATTAGGATAGTTGGGAATTTGAGAAGTTTGAAATTTGGGGATCTAGTAAATTGGGTATCTAGGGAATTGGCTATGTGAGGAACTCGGGATCTAGGGAATTGCAGGTCTAAGGGATTCGAGATCTAGGGAATTGACGGTCTGAGGAATTCGGGGTTTAGGGAATTGGTGGTCTGAGGAATTCGGGATCTAGTGAATTAGTGGTCTGACGAATTCAGGGTCTACGGAATGAAAATTTAAAAATTAAAAGATCTGTAGAATGTAAATAGATTCTATACGATTTGGGACGAATGTAATTCTTAAATAAACGACTCAGGGTGTACTGTTGTATTCGAGTGAAAATCGTTGGGAAGTTGTGAAACGAAAAAGTTTACAAAAGTGCCATGTTGTTCAGAATTGTTCCAC